ACTACTACTATTATCGTCATTAATTACTATTATTATTTATTCCATTCAATTCACGCCATTCAATCAAATTTAATTTTAAATGGTTTGCCAAGATCACCAATTCCCGATGAGTATTTCAAAATTCGATTTGTGTACTGCAACCTGATATTTCCGAACTTTTATGTTTCAACTTATGCTTATATATTTTTGTTTTTATGTTTTTTTTTTTTACTTCTTTCGTTTAATATATTAATAAAAATAATAAATTCTTGCGTATTATTGTTTTTATTTTTGTTCCTTTTTTTTATAATAAATAAAATTTAAAAACAAATTGAATGTTATGAATGAAAGAAAGAAAGACAGAAAGAAGAATGTAATATAAATAGATCAAGCGATGCTGAATATCAATTCTAATCGAGATTTTTACAAAAATTTCTCCTGGAATGAGATCAGATCAGTTGAAAATTGTTTGATTTGAAATTGAGAGCATCACTTTTACAGTGTCACATACAGCTGATGATGATATCTAGGTCTTTCCTTTTCTAATACCGACCTTTTTACCAAATTATAACCCCTCTCTTCTTCCATCCCAAAACTAATATCAGCAATTTGACGTTACTTTTCTGACTTTTCTAACCTCTATTTTCGATTGCATCATCGATTCGAATTTTATATTTACATATATATATATATATATATATGATGATGGCATATTCAAAAATATAGTTTTGCTTATTGTTTTATATTGCTAAATTAATGATACATTTACAAATAATTTATTTAATGCTACAAATTAATAATTGCACTATCATTAGCATTGCAAATTAATAATTGCACTATCATTAGCATTGCAAATTAATAATTGCACCATCATTAGCATTGCTATCACTAATGATGTCATCAAATTTTCTCAGTAATAGTTCAATTTTTGAACGCATTACTATACCGGAAGACTAGAAAATTTATGTCTGCTATGCTTTACACCCCGAATTTTAATTTTAGATGCTTGCAAAAATAATTGTACTGTTATTACTACATATAGCTATTGGTCATGGTGAAGAAAAGCCATTTCTGGATTTGAAGAAAGTAATTCGGGTATGAATGTTTCAATCATTCTTGTTTGATTGCAAGTTTCAATGAATTAATCAATCATTGCTGTAATTTCGAAAGGAAAAAAAAACGAAGCGTTTTTGAAAGTTTTTTTTTTCACCAAAAAAGAGAAAATAAAGTAAAAATATTTTTTAGTAAAGTAACTTTCAACATATCATATATCAAATATTCTTCCTAACTCTATTAACTCTTCTTTCATCTATATCTTTAACTGTTTTTTATCAATTTGAAATGATTAATTTAAATTTGATATATTTAGGGAGCTCTTGATGTTGTAGCAGCAGTACCAACATCACCATCAGCAAATTATGATTTTGGTGATGTATCAAAATCGAATGCTCCAAATGGTATTCATGGAATTGATCCGATTATTCGTGAAAGACTTTCAAGAATTTTTCATATTCCACCGGATTTTGTCCATCGATTAGCAGCCCAAGTTGGCTTTATTGATTATGAACCAACAACAGTGAAACCATTTCCGAATTATCGGTTAGAAAAATTTTTGAAAATTATGAATAAATTTAAACAATGCTTATGGTAGTTAGATGTTTACTGTACTTATCATATGTCTATTTATTTAGATTCAAGCCTAAATCACATACATCACATGGCAATCAAGAATATAATACAGGATCTGCTTTTATTCAGGTGAAAAAAAAAATTTTTTTTTTTTAAATTTTCATAAGTATATTTTAATTGAGAATTTAAATGAAAAGAAGTCGTATATTTGTGAAATTCTTATTTTCAAACAATTTAACAATTTTAGAATGGTTCATTTGTTATTCACTACATAATTGGAAAATGATAATACAAGTAACGTATCATAAGAGATAAAATAAACATTTTGAAATTGTTTACAAATTAAATTCGTGACACTTTTTTTTTCTTTCCTTGTTAAAAAGGTAACAATGATTGTAGGAAGATCCAACAACTATATTTAATACAGCTAATGATTTATCATCAATCATTCAACAGCAAGGGTAAAGTTTATCAATGATTTGCATAATATAGGAAATGATATCATTATGTTATTTATGAAATGGCATTGATAACATTTTAAATCTTTTTTGTTTTAAAGGGTTAAATTTTTTGAATAAAAATAAATTAAAAATAAAAAAAATGAAAAATAAATTTTTAAATTAAAAAATAAAAATTAAAAAAAATAAATAAATTTATTTAAAATAAAAGTAAATTTTTTAAATAAAGGGTAAATTTTTAAATGGAATTTATTAAAATGAAATTAAATCATATACTATTCAATTGATTTTCATCATCAATTTATGAGAATAGGGAATGAATATAGGACGAAGAAGAATGGATAAAATTAATGAAAGTAAGAATTTCAGGTTGTTAAAATTTTGAACAATTTATTACAATCTTTTTAGTAATGAGCATATTTTTTTTTTCTTTATTTTATGCTTATCGTAATTTTTTCATGAAATTTGATTCATATGATATTATCCATACTGAAAGTATAGATTGATAAAAAAAAAAAAGAAAATATAATTTATAATTACAGTAATTTTGTTAACACTTCACAAATCATTACAAATCATGCTATAACCGAACAGCAAGCTGATATTTTACAATCTGAGCAAGCTATCATTTTTCAACCTGTAATCAAAGATGGTCATTTGTAAGTTTGTGAAATTTTCAACAATTTTTGCAAAGTTTTTTTTTTTTTTTTTTGCTAAGAATTTTGCAATTTTTTTTTTATATTTTAAAAAATTATCAATATTTTATTGCTTTTACAATTTAAAATTTCATTACTTTAGATATTATCAACCATTTGGTGTTTTACCACAAGGTGGCCAACCAAAAATGATTATTTATGGTGGACGATTATACATGGCTACACCATTACAAAACGAAAAACATGCTCAAGTTAGCAAATACAATATACTGTATTACACTAATTATCGTAAGAAAATTTTACATTCACTTCGTAACATATACTGTATTATTTTAATTATCGTAAGATTTTATCTAATTTTATTTAAAAAAAAAAAAAAAGAAAAAAAGGGAAAAAAGAAAAGAAAAGATTTCTTCTCTTCCATTGTTATTTGTTGCTTTCTTTTAAATGAAGCCAATATATTTCAATTTTTATCATTATACAATTAATATATTTAGGAAAGAACAATGGGAGATATGATTGGACAGTATTCAAGTGATGTAATTGATAAGAAGGAAAATGATCATAAATTATCAAATGAACCAAATGAAGAAATGCATTATCGTCATATTTATGCGCAACATATGAAAGCTGCCGAAGATGCAAAAATTCAAGCTGCTAAACTTCAACAGGTAATAATACCTTTGGATATATATTAAACGCATGTATGAATTTGTAAATATTTGATTTAAGCATTGGGAAATTTTTTATTAGGATTAATTCGAGCACAACCAAGAATTTGTACATTATTTCATATTCTTATTCGATATATCATAATTAATACTATTGTATTATTTAACTTTAATTAATTAATTCTTTTTTTTACTGATCAAAGATGTGATGTTTTAATGATATATGGAGATATTCGAACATTTTATTTCATATATTATTTATTTCATATATTATATCATAATTCTTTTTATTTCATATATTATATCATAATTATTTATTTCATATATTATATCATAATTCGTATATTATATCATTCAATATATTATATCATAATTAATACTATTGTATTATTTAATTTTAATTAATTTTTTTTTTTTACTGATTAAACATGTGATGTTTTAATGATACATGGAGATATTCGAATACTTTTCTAATTGTTATTGTCCATTTATTTTAGTTGACGATGATTTATTCTTATCAATGATGCACGATATGATGACCCATTTGTTTATCATGCGAATTTTCACTTTTCAAAATTCATTGCATATATCGGGGTCAATTGTGAATTAAATTTAAGATTTCATTAAAAAGAATGTAAAATTAATTATACAGGTCATCGCACCGGATGCTTCATCGACCGGAATTCTTGGAATTGAAAGTAAAGCAAGGACATCATCACCTTACCGTAAAGGGTACAAAAAAGAACTTGAAAGATACGATAAACTTCATCAATTCAATTTACAGAAGAAACCGGTTTGCGCAATACCAATTAAACTAATTATTCATTTCCTAATTAAGACAGAAGATTTGAAAATAATGAAACATAATCAGATTTTAAAAATTAATAATTTTCTTTTTTTTTTCGCTTAATATCTTACAACGAGAACTGCTATTTAATTCCTATAGATAATAATATAATCAAGCATAACTGTAGGATTAGTTAATTTCACAAAATTGATTTCTTTTTTTTTCTGCAGCAAGAAGTTAATGCTAACTTTGCACAAGAAAATATGGCTGGAAAAGGTCAAAAACGTGCAGTGACCAATTTTCGAGTGACAACACCAATTACTTCATCATTTAATCAGCTTGCTGATGAGATCGAAAATTCAGATTCACCATCCTACCAACCATCATTCAATCAAGTTAATATATGACTGATTTTATTTGTGATATTCAATTCAAACTACCAATATGTACTTTAGGTTTACCTTTACCTAATCTTTACCTAATTACTTTAGAATTTTAAACAATCTGAAGAAATCGATAACATTGCAACTGATAGTGCAATTGAAGAGCAAACAACAACAACTATCCGACAGAGTGATAAGCATCAAAATGGAATATTTTCACCGAAAAAAGTAGGCTTTAAGCATTGGTAAAGTTTTAGTGAATTTAATTTATTTACAGATCAAATTTTCATAACTGAACTTAAATTTTTAAACTTAACATAAAGTGAAAAAAAAATTCATGGAAAAATTGCATAATACATTCAAAATTTGTTTCGCATAATTTTCATCGATAATGTAAACGAGCAATTTAAGGTTAAAGAAAATGAAAATACTGAATTTATGAGTACCAATCAATCAATGCGACGAATTTTGGCATTAAGACGTAAAATGGCCGCTGATAGGAAACGATTCGCGGAACGGAAACGATTACTTTCATCAATGAAACGAAAAATTAATAAGGATGATGATATGAACAAAGAAGTAAGTTTTTTCTTTTTTAGAAAAAAAAAATTTTGCTGCAAAAATATTGAGCAAATTTTCGATTAAGTAATTTACGATATTCGCTAAATTTGTTTCAAAATACCCTACGGAATTTTCAAAATTCAGATTGCAACAAATTCTGATATGATAATTCCCAGATAAGACTTGCAATTTTATGATTAAATACATATATATATATATATATATATACCAATCAGTACGAATGATATGATAATTTCAAGATAAAATACGCGATTACATTTTCAAAAAAATAAATTTAAATTAATATCTATAATTATTGCAGATATTTCGACGTCATTGTTACAACATTCGATCATTGGCACAACAATTTGGTTTCATGGACATCAAGCAATATGTATTATCCAATTGTATGTTTATCGAAAATAATTATCCAGAATTTAAATGTGATGAAGCTGACGTTTCGGTGGATGAATGTGAGAGATTATTTCGAGTATCTAATTTTAATTAATTAATTTGTAATTTTGTGCGAATACATGAATTTAATTTGTTATAATTTATTGCATTTTTCTTTCTTCCTTTTCAAAAATTGTAAAAAATAAAAAGTGTAATTTTCACCACACACTAATTGCATTACTAATTAACCATACTTTTGCTATTGTCATATGAATTTTCTTCCCTCTCCCTTTCCCTATTTCTCTCTCCCTCTCTCTCTCTTTCTTTTTTTCGAAAATATAAAAAAACAAAACAATTGAATTTTTATGGAATTAAAGCAAAATTTTGATTTAAAATCCTGGAATTTCCAATTAAAAAAATTTATTTCATTCTTTTTCATATGAATATTGTACAAAATTAATGTATGACATGAATTTTTCCGTCTTTTTAATCTTTAAATAAAAATAAAAAGAAGTAAAACTTAATAAAATTTCTTTTGCATATTTTATGAAACATAAATATAGCATATCTGTGCCAAATATCAAAAAGAAAAAAAAAAAAGTATTGCAAATGAAAACGAAAGGCTATCTGTGACAATTGTAGGATGACAAATGTCAGGTAAAATATCAGCGCAAACAATGACAATGACGAATGTAATGACAAATTTGAGGAGTTTATTGCGCCTAAAATTCCATCTAAACACGAATATATGTACTCTCACTCTCTTTACAAGTAACTTTGAACAGTTTCTCTTTACAAGTAATTTTGAACAGTTTTATTTATTTTAAGTAAAAATTTGCCTGAATGATAAATTTAAAAGAAAACGTCGAATTATTCATTTTTTGTCAATCAAATTTTCATTACATTTCCAGTATTTCATCGATAAATGTACTTTAATTTCTATTGTTGATGAGTGAAAAAAAGAAAAAAATGTAAAAATTTTAATTTGCTTTGTTTATTAATATTTGCAACAAAATGTTTTGTTTTATCTAATTTTATCAAATATTTTATATCAAAATTTTCATTTCTTAATTATCGAAGTTTTTCAATTCAGCATTATTTCGTCCCATATGTTTCTTTCTATTTTCTCTAGAATAATAATTATTAAAAATACTTTTCAGATAAAAATTTAATCCAAAATTATTGTTAAGATATTTTATTTACTTCGTAATATGAATGCGACTTTTTCCCGCAGACGGTGGTTTTTAGAATTTCATTAATGAAGTAATACTAGTACTGATAAGAACGATAATAATAACAATAACAATAACAATGAATAATAATAATAATAATAATGGTAATGATAATAATAATAATAATAATAATAATAATAATAATAATAATAATAATAATAATAATAATAATAATAATAATAATAATAATAATAATAAATAATAATAATAATAATAATAATAATAATAATAATAATAATAATAATAATAATAATAATAATAATAATAATAATAATAATAATAATAATAATAA